GCAGGTAATTATGTGAAAAATGTTTAAAAGTAAAATAAAACAAAAGAGGATGGGATTTATGGCATGAGTCCCCAAGGTAGTGCTTGACTTGAGACCTGTGATAAGATTAGGTTTGATGTTTCCTGTTGGCTATTACATTCTTGTCAGTGTTAATTATTTAAGAGAAATGTTGCTACATGTCTCTTTGTTCTGACCTAAATATGTGAGTGAAATCTTTCTATTTGTAGCATGAAATGTCTTAGAACTTGGGAGTTACCCCTAACCTAGAGACTGACAGTAATTAAGCAATAATTAGGTTCTCCCAATTTTTTGCTCAAAAAAAGAAAACAAAAAAAAAAAAGGAAAATACTAATGGATGTGCTAAGAGGGGCATTTCACAATTAGATCTCTTCTGCAACAAAAGCTGTTGGCTATTAACAGCCATTATGTAAGAAGAGGATCGCTTTCTCAGTGTTGAAGTGGCATAAACTTCTTTAACCCTTTTCTTAACTCTTTTCCACACTGTTTTAGCCATTAACCGACCAGATATAACGGACACAGAAATGGAAACTATAATGGACACTATTGTTGATAGTCTCTTCTGTTTTTTTGTTACACTTGGTAAGTTTTCAAATTCTAGCATGTTTTCCATATGTTTTTCCTTTTAGAAAAGATCCATTTCAGTGAGATACTTAGAAGTTTAGTGATTTCATGTAGCAAATTAAAGGCAGAATTAGATTTGTGGCAGAAATCTTAATGGTTCGCAGGGTGGGTTAATGATCTTGCTCAGATTATTTCTGTACATCACTGCAGAAGGCAATAAAGGCTGTCCTACATGGGAGTTGAGTCTTAGTCTTCAGTATCAATGGGAGAAGAATACTGAAATGCAAAGCTTTGGATTTGCTGTTTTTACAAAATCCTAGTTTGGAATAAAGATCTGTAGTGCTTTGAGTTTGGACTTGTAGCTCTCAAAAAAAAAAACAAACCCAAACCAAACCCACAGAAAAAGAAGAAAAAAAAAATGCTCACACAAACCCTGCAAAGATCTAACTGAAATAACTGACAGAATAGGAAGATATATTAAATTTACTTATTTTATTGTGAGTTTTCTTGATGCTTAGCTCATACATTTTTCATAGTGATGATATTTAATCTACGTTCTCACTGAAATCAATCAGTCTGAGATAGCATTCCTACAAAAGGAGTTGGGGATCACTATGGGACAGTCTGTTCAAGAGAGATTCCCTTGGACCTATTGAGTTCTTTCAAGTGTTAGTGTGATACAAATTAAATTTCTTTTACTCAGTCACTTAAATTAGATAACTGAGGAAGGGTAGCTAAAGACTTTGAAACCTGAAAGCCAGTGAAAAGTGTGCTTTTGAAAATAACATTACACTGCAGTGAGTTGTAACTGATAAATTGTGGTGGTGGTGTTATAGTACTTACTATTACTGTTTTCAAGGGACTTAAAACCTTTTGAAACTAAGTTATAGTGCTTCTATATAAGATAGTTTGTCGCCTCCACAGTACATTAGTTATCTCTGCAGTGTACACTGTACTTCTCATAAATTCCTGTATGAGGTATTGACTGACTTTTGTAAAACTTCATTTAATATTTCTGTGTAGTATTTTTTGTTTCATAGATAAAGACTGCAAGAGACAAATTTAATAGGTTTCTATTGTCCACTTGAAAATTTCATCTCTTAATGTTACTTGTTTTATGAAAAGTACGCTAACTTATAACCTGAAAATTATGATGCAAGTAGAAGTCAATATATCTTTTATTAGGAGCTATTCCTATAATCAGATGCTCAAGAGGAACTGCAGCTGAAATGGTGGCAGTGGTAAGAAACTATTTTCTAAACAAGTATTATAATTTTAAAACTTTCCCAACAGCTTGTTTACTTTTCTCCATACTAGGCAGAGATCTAGTGTCATTGTATCCTTTCCCTTATGAAGGAAATACATCTGGAAAGGACATATACCAGTTTTCCTTTCTGATTTCAGTTCCACGGAACTCATCTGTAGAGACTATAATATTATGGAATAAGCTGATGAGAAATTTGAACATGAATAATCATTCCTAATCTAGAGTTTATCAAGATTTTCTGACAGCCATTATAATTACAACCATTAAGCTAAAGCTACACAGTTTAAAAAGTGGCTGGCTGGCCTGGATTTTTCTGTGTGTCTTAGTAAGAAACTTTTATATATCTGTCAGAGAAACCTTCTAAGTACAAGACATTTTTACTATATCAAACTAAACTGACATTGAACTTGATTATCAAGTAGGGATGAAATTACCAAACTAAATCACAATTAAAAATCTCTACGGCACTGTCTTCATTAGGAGTCACTGTGCTTCATTTCTTCCATCTTCCTCACATCTTTTTTTGTCACTGAAGACATAATACTCATTAAGCATTCAGTGTGCATGTGTTCATAGAGGGTAATCTCATTTTTATGAAACACTTAGAGTGGCAGTGTCTTACAGCCCAGTGCGCTGCTTCTGCTGTGGTTTCCTCTTGGTACCTCCTACTGGTATTTTCTATTCGCATGTTTAGGGAGAGGGTGCTAATTGCCTGTGAGGAGTTTAGTGGACATAAAGGAAACATCTTCTGTGTAGTCCTCATTATAGATATAAATGCTAGAGGGAGAAAACAGAAGGAAGAGATTTCTTTCTTTCCCGCATGCAGTGGACCTAGAATTCCTGCAGCTAAGACCAGCACAATAAATCTTTAAATGTTGTTCTTATAAAGAGTTTAGGAAACCATTCATTTGTTAAAAGCTGTTTCATTTTTTTCCCCCTTCAGAAATTAGATAAGAAGCTCAGAGAGAACCTAAGAGATGCCAGAAACAGTCTTTTTACAGGTGACACACTTGGAGCTGGCCAGTTCAGGTATGGTGTTAGTAATAACTAGGGGGTTGGGGTTTTTTTTTTCATATTTCAGTTGTCTGCAATATCTCATTAAATAAGTCACCATTGTACTGAAAACTGTATTTAATAGAATTTAGTTCAAATTCTATATTAAAAGAATTTATATACTTTTAAGGGAGTTTTTCAATCTCTTAGTGTAACCAGTTTGAAAACTTATAGCTAATAAGTGTGCAGTCCTAGGACAGTGAGACAAAAATTATTTAATGAACCAGGTAATTTTGTTCAACCTCTAAACCCGGCAAGAGCCAAGCTCCTGCAAATACACTCAGGTTACAGGATCACGGTACTCAGTTGGATGTCTGAACATATCTGTCAGCAATCTTTAGTCCACTAAAAAGAAATAAATACCTATTTTCTCACTTGTGAGCATTGTTATCAGTTGTAGTAATGTCAAAAACAAGTGTTTCTCAGCTAATCCCTATATGTACCAGAGGAGGACTGCTTAAGGACTACCACTTGGATAATTAGATAGTAAAGGACTGCTAAATCACAACCATTTGAATCCTTTGAGGGGAAAGAGGGGTGAGAAAAGACATTGTGAATGCTTGCCTCCTGTGGATACTGTTGCCCCCAGATGCTCCATAGGCTGCCTTAGGAAAGCATATTACAGGAGTTTACACTGTACATGAAAAGGTGAGGAGATGTATTGGGAAGACTGTTGCTGAAGGGGACAGTTATGATCTCCTAACTGGATATAAAATAGTTGTCATATTTTTATCTCAAATTAAGAGCAGAACTTGGATAAAAGACACAAAAAATGTCAGGGGTGGAAAGGTATTAGGAGAGAGAATACCTGTGAAACATCAGTTCCCTCATTTTCATGGGAAATAAACTGTAACCGCTGTTTTTCCTTCAGAGGAGTAGCTTGTTTTCCTGATAGTATAGCATCGTTACCCTCAGAAAATCAAAATGCAAGGAAAGGGAAACATGGGAACCTTTAACCAGCTAAATGGCTTCAGATCTTTAGTTTGGTTTTCAGAAAAAAAATTACTAATATACTGAGATTATATAACTACATGAAAATACTTACTGGAAGGAAATCCAGCGCATGGAATTAACATGCTTTTACTCTGTTCAAATACACTGTAATTTAGCCATCACATTTTCTGTAGGGCTATTGTGCTTGAGGGAAAAGGTTCTGTCAATTCACAGCCTTTCTGTCTTCCTATAATTTTTTCATGTAGCCGTTACCAAGGCATTTAGGCACGTCTGCATTCTTTTTCCACAAAATCAAGTATTGATGGAATTACCACAATGCATCTCAGAAGTTCATAGGGGTTTTTTATGGACTTCATATGCAAGCAAAGAGAAAAATTAAATAATAAACCCTTGAGAGAGAGATTTTATATTTGAGGTGGTGCATAATAGAGATTAAGGTCAAATATTACCCCTGAAACAGTTGTTTGGAATTCAAATATGTATCCACACAACGACATGTTATTTAATACCTAAAAGGCTACTTACTGTTTAGTGTTTTGACTTCTGCTCAATATTTATACATTGGTAATTTCACTTAGTGCAAAATAGAATAATCTATTTATCATTACTAAGACAGTGATTCATGGAATTTCTGGAAGTGATCAGCCCCAGATGCTTTGGGGAAGGCTGGAGGATCTCTGCAGTAGGCAGTTTGCCTTTTCACTTGAAATATGAAGTAGAAGGTGGTTGATATCACTCAGGATGTTACTGGGGTATTCTAAACATGTTTAAAGAAGTACTAATACAGTGTCATCTTTTCAGCTTCCAAAGGCCCCTATTAGTCCTTGTTGACAGAAACATAGATTTAGCAACTCCTCTACATCATACTTGGACATACCAAGCTTTAGTGCATGATGTTCTGGTAAGAATAAATCTGATTTTGTTACCAAAACTGTTTTTTCATTCAGCTTGTTATTAAACCTAATACCAGATTCTCTCTTAATCCAAAACCTGTTTTGTCTGCTTTATTTGGAAGTTGTTTAGTAAAAAACTTGGAATATTTTCTCTAGAGGGTTATTTAGCAATAACTTCCAAAATGGTGAAAAAGTTGAAATCTTGATATTATTAAAAGATAGGTAATTCAGCAATCCTAGCTTTTTCTTCAGTAGTTCATGATCTTTTATGTTATATAAACTCCAAACTCCATTAAGTGCAATTCAGTTTTGAAAAATAAATGCTTTTAATGAGTTTTTAAACTGATTTTAGTATTAGTTTGAATTTCTAAAAATACCTATTTCTGTTTTTCTCCACAAGGTGGGTGTATGTGTTCAGTGTAGAGGTACCAAGTGGTACATGACCCTACTGTGAGGAATCTAAAATAGAATTTTTTAATAATTTTTTTGAAATTCAGATAGCCCTAAACCATTATCATTTCCTCAAGTTTATTTTATAAAACCAATAGTAGAAATGTACTTGAATGAAAGCAATACTATTTATCTAAGATTTATGCATTTCATATATAGTTATGGAGTAAATGATAAAAGATAATACAAGTCAGAACAATTACTATCTGGAGGCCTTTTTATACTATAGAGTTAGTCATGCAAATCATTTCAGTATCTAACTTCGAGAAATACTTTGGTTTTATTGTTGAGACTGTTTGAGGAACATGTAAGATATGCACATGCACGTATGTGTTTGTATAAAAAGTTGCTTTTGAACAGTGTAGTCATAGATACAGCGTTGTCCAGAAACTGGCATTGCTATGCTGAAAATATTGTAGCTAATGGGATGTTTTAGGACACTTTTAAATTCTATTTTATGTAATTAATTCCTTATGACAAGTCCCTTCTTCTTAAACTTAAGGGTGCTTTTTACAAATAAACAATTTTTGGCCTGGTTTCTTTCAGAAGGGCATATATGAAAAAAACACAGTTTGCACTGTGTTTTATCTAATAGCTGTTGAGCTGGCTAGAGACTTGCAAATAGAGGTGCTGAATTTCTACAGGCTTCTTTTGAAAATTGGTGAGAGTATGGGATGGAAACCTGAGTTAGAATTTGTACGGGTGTAAATGCTATTGCACAAGGTCTACACGTATTTCTGTTTGTTACCTGCCAATCATTTAATCAGCAGGTGCTCACTTACTAGGTGGTAAATCCATGCAAAACTCCATGTACTTGCCTCCTACTCAGCAGCTGGGTAGAGAGGGTAGTGTCAGGTGGCCTCAGGCACTTGTTGGAGTAGGGCTTCGGTGCATCAAAATGCAGAGGGATCAAAGTTGTAGTGGAAGCTGTGAGGACAATTAGTGCTACAAATATGGAAGGGTATTAGAATAACACTAGAAGAATGATTTAAGGATCATTGGATATTTATCTATACTGCGTCAGGTTTCAGTAGTTTCTCTGGAGCAACTTGTTAAATGTCGCATATTGCATCGAATTTTTGACTGAGTTGATACGATTATGAATTTGTCTAGTGAAACTGTAACCAAGTGGCCTGTGATTCCATGTCAAGGACAAAAGTTTAATTTCAAAACCAGTCAAATTTTTCACCTGAAAGGCAAGCATGCCAGGTTCTTCACGTACTGAGCATATTTAGTGAAATAACTGCAGTAGCCTTTTAAAAGGCCAACCCTTGTAACCATGAAAGTGTTACTGAGGTGATGGTTATGTAAATTGTGCTTTCGAATAAATTATTTTTCATTTAAGCTCTCAGTTACAGTAGTCCAGGAATTCTGTGGAGCGTTGAACTAAATTCTAACCCAGCCACAAAATTGTGTGCTGTATCCGTTTAGATTGTAATGGTGGTGTTGCTATACATAAACAGGTGTGTATGAAGAAATTCCTGTTTCATAGAATCATAGACTGTTTGGGGTTGGAAGGGACCCCTAGAGGTCATCTAGTCCAACCCCCCCCGCAGGAGCAGGGACACCGCTAAGTAGATCAGGTTGCTCAGAGCCCCGTCCAACCTGGCTGTGAATGTTTCCAGGGATGGGGCCTCCACCACATCTCTGGGCAACCCCTTCCAGTGTTTCACCACCCTCATTGTAAAGAATTTCTTCCTTATATCTAGCCTAAACCTACCCTGGTTTAGTTAAAACCATTACCCCTTGTCCTGTCACAGCTGGCCCTGCTAAAAAGATTGTCCCCATCTTTCCTATAGGCCCCCTTTAGGTACTGAAAGGCCGCAATCAGGTCTCCCCGCAGCCTTCTCTTCTCCAGGCTGAACAACCCCAATTTTACTCATTTCTGAATAAACAACTTTTCAGGAGTGGCTACAGAAAAATGGGATAGAAAGCCTTGTAAAGGCAAAGTGGGGAGGTGAAAGGACACTTAGAACTTTAATCAATAAGAATCGTTTTGGTAAAACTCTTTGTAAATGCCAAAACTAACTTGGAAACACTGGTCACTGGTGAGTTAAATTGAGCTGGAACATAGATCTTCATTAAAAATTGCAGCTGAGTTCGTAATCAAACAATTCCTTTAAGTTTTTATTGAACATACGCACTTGTACAATACTCTTTTTTTTTTTTTTTTTTTTTTTTTTTTTTTTTTTTTTTTTTTCTGAAACAGTAAGCATGTCTTCTGAGATGATGTTTGTGCTCATTGATTGCATGTGCTTCCTTTGAGTAGCTACTTTGTTTTCTTTCTATTCTGGCATGGGTCATTTGTAGTATGTCATTTTAAGGGTGAACTCTGCCAAGGGATAACTAGAAATATTTTACAATTTTATTTGACAAGTTCACTTACAGTGATCTAGTTCTGTGTATTGTAATGAACATAATAAAGTAGAGTTTTATTTCTGGAAAAAATATTCTAAAATATTTGTGGCATATTCTGTACAGTTGAAAATTTTACTCTATCATTATCTGCCAAGCAAAGAGCACTTCTGAAATTTAAAAATGTTCTTGAAAAGGGTTAGAATAAAGTTAGCAAGCGGAGTACTTGTTAATCTCTGTTGAAAACCGGGAGGACTATGTATGCTGCAGAAAATACAGAGCTGTCCTTGGCAAAAGTAATGGGAGAAAGAACCAGAAAAAATACAGGGAGCGGTATGCTGACATACTATGTGAGCATAACTGTGGCATCTAGCAAAAAGATGTAGTTTCTAGGTTCGCGCATCTGTGGAAACAGCAGTAGCAGCTTTGTTGCAAACTGTTGCTTTATCATGCACTCGGTATTTCCCTAGTGTTTAAAACACAGTGTTTGTTTGGTGTTATTTCAATAAGTGTGAGTAATTTTGGTGTTCTTATGTTGCTGCTGTTACTATCTAGTTAGTTAGTATATGCTTCCTGCCCTCCTATGAAATTCTAATAAATAGCTGTGTTAATATTTTTTAGAAATTATTCTAGAAGATTGAGTATAAAAGACTGATTCAATAATTAAAAACTGTCAAATATTTACATAAGATTCCTGGTTTTTTAGGATTTTCATTTGAATAGAGTTAACTTAGAAGAATCAACAGGAATGGAAAGTTCTCCAGCAGGTGCTAGACCTAAAAAAAAAACCAAGAAGTCCTATGATTTAACTGCATCTGATAAATTCTGGCAAAAGCATAAGGGCAGGTAAGCTGTATAGGTACAGAGTTTATATTAATTTAGTCAATATATAAATTCTAAATATTCTTCATATTATGGTAGTTCTATTTTTGAGCTTGTTTGAAAATACTTTTGAATTATGGTTTTTTTTTTTTTAAGGAATGTTCATTGTCAATATTCTTTGTCCATATTAATTGTGTATTAGCTTTTTGTTACAGAGCACAAAATTGCTTTATCAAAATTATTTAAAAATATTGAAAGCAGTTAATGTATCTTAGAAAGTTTAAGTAAACCTACAGTAAGATGTTATTATTTTCACTGATTTGATACTGCTGCATGATTTGTGTATTGATATTTCTGAAATAATTTTCATGATTGTCTTGATCATGCAACCCGTCTGGTTCTAGTGTTTCAATTTGTGGATTTAACTGAGCCTAATGCAGAGTATTACATTAGTCCTTTTCCAGAGGTAGCTGAGTCTGTTCAACAAGAACTGGAATCCTACAGAGCTCAAGAAGATGAAGTCAAAAGACTTAAAAGTATCATGGTAAGTTTTATCACCTGTATGTGCTTTATGTGAAACATAATAGTACTTGCAGAGATGCTTAGCCCCCTCTGCCACCCCCCATGCAAAAATTATCAACACATGCTGAATTTTAGGCATAATACAATTTTAAAAGTAGGACTAGAAGTACTGTATTTCATGAGAAGCTTCAATTTCTTGTGTTTATTTTCATTACATTTATATAACTTCCATCATAACTGTAAAACACAATCCAGACATTAATACCATTATGAGAAGATAGGTTCTAAATGTACTGGCTGTATTTGCATGCGTGACCTTTGTATTTATTATGACTATTTTTATTCCTCTTTTCAAACCCTTCCCCAAAACCCAGGGTATAGAAGGGGAGGATGAAGGAGCAATAAGTATGCTTTCTGATAATACAGCTAAGCTAACTTCAGCTGTCAGGTAAGTAATCAATGATGAATTATTGTTTAATTAATTGGGAACCATTTTAATTCTTTCTGTCATTTCACTTTTAATACCCTTTGGAATAAATAGCTTTAAAGGTAGGCTATTCAGCTCAATAATAGAGTTTCAGTGCTTTATAATTCTGCTAAAGTTTAATGCAATGTCCTAGGCAGGTACTTGCACATGTGAGTTCCACAGCATGTGTGTGTGAGCCCTCTACACGTGGCTTTGGAGTGTTTCCTCAGCAAAACTGAATAATCTAAGCGCATCATAGATTTGCTTATACCCTTCCACTAGAAAAACCCAGCTACCTACCTCTGCATTCCTTCCTTAAAAAAATTGGTAGTGAAATCCACTTCCTGAAGCATCTGCTTGCTTTGCACAGTGTGTAATTAATTACGTTGAGACTAATGTAGATACTGTAACATCTGCTGACAAGATTATAGTCATTAAGAACTCCGCATGGGAAATTCAGTCTTCTGCTTGTGGAGATCTGGCCACCATGGATGACACCGAAAGCCTGAGATTTAGACTTATTCCTCATTGTAAATCTGTTTTTCATTCCACTGATGCCTTGGAGGGAAGGTAGATATTCAGTTTGCTGCCTTTCACTAAGACCCCAATCAGAAGGAGGAAGGAACCATAATTATTCTGAGGATAGATGGGGTGATATGCCCAGTGTCCTGTGAAATCCAGCATGTGTCTGCATTATTTAGTTGTCTCTTTGTGAGTTTCAAAAGTTGTTTTGTATGCTATGCCCTAGTTAGGATTGGATTGGAATTACAAAGGATGCGTGATGGATCAGGCAGTTTCGAAAAAGTGAGGGGATGTTTCCAAGCTCCCCCTATAAAGTTTTAAAGTTTTGTACTTAACAAGATGCTGGTTTTCAGGTTAAGGCAGCAAGGTATGAAAATGACAAGTATCACAAGCTTTAAACTGATAGCAAAAAAAAAAAAAAAAAAAATCATGACTAAAGCTTCATCGGGAAGTTTTCCTGTTCAGTTAGCTCTATGTAATTGTTTTCTGTAATCTGGCATTATAAAGGAAAATCTTGTCCCCCCTCAGGAAAGCCCCTCAGTAAACTCTCTTATTGCAATGTTTCATCTCTAATCTTTAGGATTGTGCTGAGAAGTCCAGATACCGTTAAGATCTTCCATTTAGGCATGTTTCTGCTGGAAGAATTAGACTAGGCTTTGCTGTTTCGTCGTCCATCATCTGCTAGCAGGAAGAAGATACCCTTCAGAGGTGTCCTAGGCTTTACAATTTCTAGAAAACTTTGGAGTATCTATTAGTAATTAAAAACTAGAGGTTCTAATATAGGGGATCTCCTGTCTTTTTTTTTTTTTCTTTTTTTTAAATGCAGTCCTTTATAGAGGCAGTACTAATCACTTTCCAGCTGTAAAGTCATTAATGGCTAATCATCATAGGTAACACTGATTTTATAATTGCTTAAAGGAGGAAAGAAAGTATCGTTACTTAACTTCATGGTTCTTCAGGACATGCAGTGAATGTCATTAAGTGCCTTCTCATCCACTTAAACGGAGCAGGACACTGACTGTCCAGGGTGCTTTTGGATGTGAAAGTGTGTAGACCCTGAGCAGTGTTTTATACATGTGATGCCCAAGTGCCAGCAGTGAAAATCACGTAGATCACAACACCTTAAATAACAGGCTTCTTATGAAGTAAGCTTAACCATTCAGTTTCCCATTTCACAAAAGAAAAGATTTCAATCATGAATCCCGCATAGAGAATTGTGTTCCATGCAGAAGCACCTGTGACAAATTCCAGGACAATTATTTGACGTTGTTTGATATTATTTGACAGATATTATTATTTGGGAGATACTGACATGTTTATATGTATCAGACATCAACTAAATGTTGATTATATAAGCCATAATTCAAGCAGATTATTTGTTTAGGTAATCAGGGCCTATATCTGTTGTTGATCACAAGCTTTCAATAGGAATATTAATTTACCCACATTATGTGTATTTTTTGCTAGTCAAAACCAGGTAAAAACCTGTTTTACTACATTACATGTGGATAACATCCTTTTGTTATGAGAATCATTACATCTGTACTTTGTAATTTTTTAGCTCCAAGTCTACTGTATTCTATAATTTTAGATCTTTAATAACCCTTAAAGGTCCCTTCCATCCCAAACTGTTCTATGATTTTATAATTTTTTTTTTGTACTGACTGTATGCAATACATGATTCAACTAACTGTGCAACTCAGCAGGTTAGTTTGTATTTAATCTCTTCAGCTCTCTTCCAGAACTTCTGGAAAAGAAGAGGCTCATTGATCTTCATACAAATGTTGCCACAGCCGTTTTGGAGCATATAAAGGTATGGTTGCTCTCCAGCTTCAGTTTTCTATCAGTAGTGCTCCTTACCTGGAGAAATATGTTTGAGCAGATGAAGTAAGATAAGAAAGTGAGCCTTCTGATTTGTGCTACCTTTTACAGAAATCACTGTATAACATTACTTAGTGTTGAAGGGTGAGAGGGAATGAATTTTGAATGCAGCTGCATGGAAAGCAAAGCAAACATCTTAATTTTTTTCTTATCAGAATTTACTAGTATACTTTTTTTTTTTTTATGATAGCCACAACCTTTATTGTGGGTTGAAGTCCTTCTAAAATAAGTTTATGATGGAAGTGTTTCGTTTACTTTAGGGATGTGTCATGGCAAGTTATGACTTCAGTCTAAGCAATTTTCTGTTCTGTATCTGTTATCAGAGGGGTACTGTTTACTGTTCACCAAGGAAAATGATACCCAGACATGTAGCAATAATGATGCAAGTTACTAAACTGGTCTTTCCAGCAGGGTCTGTGTTAGATGTCTTTTGCATAATTTAAGCACTTCAGAAGGATGCTTGTCCTCTTTTCTGTTTAAGTCTGCTGCTCTTGTATCAGAGAACTGGCAGACAGTGTCAGTACTAGAGTATCTTGGAAGATGGATCTGTTTTCATGGTATGAGAACAGAAATTATAGAAGAGGCTTTCAGAAACACTGAAATTCTGTTTTTGAAAGTGATTCAAGCACCAAGTCTCACTGAAAATCAATAGTTAGATCTGTCTAATTGAGGAAGAGATCTAAGTGTGTCTCATTAGGGGCTAGTTTATGTGCTTTTGCAGTATTAGGCACGTCACTTTTCATAATCTGGCAATTTAGAAGCAGTACATTAATACCATTGGAAAAAGATAGAAGCTGGTTGTGTCGATATTTTATTTGATGCCTTGTTTGTAAATTTGCTTTTCTAAGAAAGATAGTAAGATGGTAACGGCAGGCCTACACCAGTAGTATTTTATATATTATTTGTTGGATAGAAGCCAGCTTTCAGAGCAGGATGTGGAGTGGCAATAGATCAGTTTTGATCGTCAGTGTCATCTTGGCAATGGACTGGAGCGTGATGCACTTGTTCATTTTCCATTAGGAGATAGTTACACACTTTTCTGTTACCTAGAGTGGAAGGAATTTCCTTAGGGTTCCTCTGCTATAGCACTCTACTTGCCCTTCGGCTCTCTCCTCTGACAGGGAACCTGTTATTAGAGAGCTCCCAGGGAGCGGTGATCCATTTCTCCATAAATTATTCTTAATTCTGGTATTGCAAAATGCTCAGGCTCCTTACCTTCTTACTGTATAGCTGTCAAAGAAGATTGTGAAACAAATGGGCATGCAGTTTCTTCAGTATATTGATGGAATGTGCATCTGTATCATCCTTTTTCTGATTTAGAAAGAATCACTTCATCTCCAGATATTTAGGAATATATCTTAAGCTAATGCAGAAGCACGTGTTTTTTCTGTTGGAATTTACCTACACTAAAGCCTTTCCACTGAATGAATGCAAAATTTTTCCAAATGCTTTGTCCTTCCATTTTCTCCCCTCTTTTCACTCTCCAGTGTTACAAAAGTATCTTTCTGTCTCGAGCTGTGGCATTTTAATATGCAGGATGATATGCTACTTAATGGATTCCTCAAAAATGCTCTCAGTAAAGGCAATATCTCAGCCAGTAGTTTTCAAAGAAATTCTGATGGCCTCTTGAGGCTGTGGTTAACAGGTTTTATATACAGTTAAATAATTAAACAGATTAGGATAAGAGAATTTTTTTTGGCAAGTGCCCAATCGTGAAGAGCTAGTGAGGCACCATGCTCTTCTTCAGGTTACTATATTTTCACTTTTAAAATAATCTAGAAGTACATTCATAGTTTAAAATAGACTTTTTGCATTGTCCATTATGGTTTTTTGCTACATTAATTATTTGAGCATTTTTCTTCACTACATATATAAGAATCAGTGCAAAGAATGCTATGAGACCTGCTTTAGTTATACTAAGCAAATGTAATTTTTTGTGTGGTCAAATTTTAGCATTCAGTTTACAGCTGCTTTCCACATTCTCTTGGATCATTTTCTAAGACACAGCAAGAGGAAACCAGAAATTAATCACATACTCGGGGGTCCTGGCAGTTTTCTGGCATATCTAAGTGTTTAGTGAAATAATGGAAAGAATGTATCACTTTTTTCACAAAGTGAGCCATCAAGTATTTATTGTCAGTGCTTAGAACAAATGCATCCTCGTTTTGCATCGATTGTTTTTTCTTTGAAGAAACAGGTGACTGAAGCACTCTACCCAACAGATAACAGATTTAGGACTAGAATTACAGGTATATTTCTAGCTGCTTTAGAGTTTCAAGTAATGCTTATCTTTGCATGTCATTCTAATACAAATGCTAGGACTACTGAAGTATGTTAAATCATGGCATATAAAAAGGTGTAGGCATACAGTTTTCTAAAATGATTAATGGGAGGGGGCAGATTAGATAGTGTCTTGCTAGAATTCTATACATACAAATTTAAGTGGCAGATTTTTATGTGAATTATCTGTCCTAGATTACTTACGCTTTTTTGGTTTAGGGTTTTTTTTAATTCCTACATAATTTTCTTATCATGTATCTCTGATTTTGCTTGATCTCAAGGGCTGATGCTTTGAATGACTCCATTATTGCGATTGCCAATATCCTTTCAAGTTATCAAATTCATATTTTGTAAAGGAATTCCAGTTTTAACTTCTCCGTTTTAAATGGGGTTACGTTTCCATCTTACCGTGTGAACAGAAACGGTATGGGTTTGTGAACTATATACATCACAGTACAGGCTATTTTTCTGTAGTTCAGAACTGATCACAGAGTAACTTTCCAGTAAACAACAGCTTTTTCTGATTTCAGTTATAGTGACCTTTCCATCATCATTCTGTGCAGTCCAGTCAAAGGGAACTGGCTGTAGCTGCCACTTTCAGCCTTCTCCCAGAGTTTTTCTTCCTCTTGATAGGATCACGCTATAATTACCTGACCAACCCCACTCATTCTAGGGGCTGTTATTTCTGGGTTTTTCTGTCTGTATCTTTGAGAAATTCTTCCCAGTAATTTCTTAGAAAATTTATTTTCTTCTGCATGTTCTCTTTCTCTCTAAAATTAAGAACCTTTGTATTGTAAAAAGGATAGGAGAGCCTCCTACAAGTCCTTACAAAAATGACCCCCTAAGAGATTTCAATGGGTCCTGCTTCCACTTCTCTGCTTAAAAAAGAGGAAATTTATGTTCCTTTTGGAGTACAGTGCTCAGGTAGAGATTCCTATGCACTTCAGTAATTTTCCATAAAACAAGTTTTGGCTTACAAGCAGCCTGTTTTTAAAGATGCTACGTTTAGGTTGAAAAAGACCTTTAAGATCATCAAGTCCAACCGTTAACCTAACCCTGCCATCCCACCACTAAACCATGTCCCTAAGCACCTTGTCTGCTGTCTTTTAAATACCTCCAGGGATGAGGACTCGACCACTTCCCTGGGCAGCCCGTTGCAATGCTTGACAGCCCTTTCTGTGAAGAAATTTTTCCTAATGTCCGATCTAAACCTGCCCTGAATATGAATATAATGTTTCAGTTTAGGATCAAAGTATAGCAAATATATGCAACCAGTGTGTTTTCTTTGCTGCGGTTAGCCTGTTTTGTTCTGCAGCCTTAGTCAAACAGTCATAAAATTGCACACAGTTGAGAAGAATTTTACCTAGCTGATGCTCCAAGTAAGTTAACAATTGTAAATCTGTTCTTACAATCGAAAGTATCTCATGTTTGATTTACATAATTTTATTTAGAAGTTGATCTATAAATAGATATAGTGAATTAGTGAATCTTTTTTTTATGTTGTACATTTTTACGTGCCGTCTGAATAAATTTGTCATAAACAAATCACCAGCTAAGATAATATGGGCATTGCCAAATTCAACAATAATATATTTATCTTAATAAGATTAAGTTTCCACATTTCAAGACAATCCTTTGTTTGTTGGATGCCTTTTATCTGGGAAAAATATTTTCAACCTGAAAACATTGAATTTAGCTCCATGTAAGGAGATACAAATGTAGTTAAAACACAAAAAGCAAGTGAATGTAATGGAAAGACTAGAAAAATTGTAGTAGTTTCTTTGCAATTGTTTTATCTCTCTAGAGAGAGTTAAGGAAACTATAACACAGGTAGACTCCGAGATGCTGTAGAATTGAAGTCACAGAACATGTCTGACATACCGGATACCAAATTGCATCTAAAGTAAGGACTTGGAAAAAGGCTGGTGGTTCAGTTCTATTCAGACTCCAAACTAGTGTAGCATAACCACTGATCATCACCTTAACTTCGGCTAAATACAGGATTTATCCAAGGTTTTACAGTAGCGTAACTACCGAAATTTGGCTGTGACTACTCTTCTAACATGAGCTTAAGGTAAATGTAGCTTGAAAGAAGTTCTAGCTTTTTTTTTTTTTTTTTTTTTTTGTCACTTCATACACTTTATATGTAGTCATAGTCACTATGACAAACAACAGAAGACATCCTTCTGCCCCTAAAGTAGCGAGGGGTCATTTTTTGAGCACTCTTCATGGTAATTTACTTTATAAGCTGTAATTACAAGCTTCCACAAAGGCTTTAAATTAAGTTGCTCTTCTGCAAGTAACTGCTCTTCTCAATGAGTTCAGCAGATGGTGAATGAGAAATAGAAGTTTATATAGCTACCTGCATCATAAGCTCATTGCCAAAGGCTTTCAATATTAAAATATTCTTGTGACTTACCTCTCCTTTTATTTTGTATTCTCATCTCCAACTATTCTTTTGATGAACTTACAATACTCAGGAGGTGAAGTATCCCAGTATCCTTAGGCTAGAGAAGTACCTCTTTTTTTTCTTTTTCCATTTTTTTGGGGAGTGGTGAAATAACTGTTTTCTAAAATTCCATTTCTTTATTTGTGATCTCAGGAATAATTTTAGTAGAATTCAAAAACACGTGAAAACCAGACTTCTAAAGTTTATATGTCGCTGTCATTACAACAACTACTGTGCTGGGTTAGAAGGTGCCATAGCAGTTTTGCATGCCTTGGCACTATCAGGCAAAATTCCCTGAATCTCTTAACCCAAGAAAAGCCCCGGTGACTCTTGCCTTGCTTTGGCGGTATCATTTCAGTCTCCCAGTGGATATGATCTGGAGCTGAAATGCTTCCAAGGCAGCGAGATGGAGATCCGCTCTGCCAGTCTCCTCTTTGAGCCAATACGTAGCTGAAGGTGTCCAAACACCAGGATTTAGATAGTTACCAGATACTAAGGTTTTGTAAGCTGAGTAGATGTAACATTTGTCTTGATGCTACATTTTAATGTTCCAACGCTCATAATGATCTGTGATATAATGGAATTTTTTTAAGTAAGTCTTTGAATGCATTTTGCTGTCTTTAGATTGTAAGTTCATGATCTGGTGGTTGAGAAGTGCAAAGCTTGGCTGTTTGTGCAGATGTATTGCAATGCAGTTATTAGTTGCATGGCCGTGTGATGTCTTCCATAAAGCTTTTGCCGCGTGAATTTTGTGCGGTCCCTATGCCATCCTCCCTAAAAAAGGGTTTTCACTACTTGGTCTACATGTGTCATTGTATAATGAGAGACTTCTTTTCCAGTGTTAGCAAGACAGTCTAATTCTGAAGTCCTCCGTCTTTGGTGTGCATCAATTATTGCAAGCCTTTGATCTGAGGCAGTTATTTCAGTACCAGCCCAAGTTGGCAGTTGCCAACTTTTCTCTGGGATGATGCCTTAATGTACTTGGGAATTTCCCACATTTACCTGCATTGAGTAATTGCCTTGTTGACTGAGAGACTTGAGGTTCAGCATAAATTTGACATAATATTTGCTTGAACATGATTTTTTCCTATTACAGCATAACACTACATATGATGGCATGTAGTTTTCAGCTATGGAAAAACCGTAGTTAAAAACAAAGCTCCTCTTTCAGTTTAATATTTGCATGTCAAACATCCCTTGCTTAACTTGCATTTTCACTTTTAATAGGAGAATTACGTAAGCATCAATTTTCCAAGAGTTAATGAAAGCGTATTATAGTGCAAGCTTTAGTTATTTTTACTGATAATTTATTTTAAAATAATTTTTTAAAAGGAAATAAATATTCTTTCACAGTGTTAAGATGTTAACCCTAACATTTATTCTTAAACAGAGTCGAAAGCTGGATGTGTATTTTGAATATGAGGAAAAAATAATGAGCAAATCCACTCTGGATAAGTCTCTTCTGGACATGATTTCTGACCCAGATGGTGAGTACTTTGATTCTGAACTTGGTATAAAACTTGTTAAGATACACAATAAATCTGTACCTGCTAGGACTTCAGGTTTTGTAAAGAGCTTATGTGCAAGCTGTACAAGAGTTGTAAAGAAACCACCTTTGTATTGATTTTTAGTAGCAGTCTACGGAGTTTAGTATTTTGATTGAGTAGTATCCAAATTATTGGCAACTTCGGCAGTTCTGCAGAAATCCTTTCCTAATTCCTTGTTTCTGAAGGTCAAAATATTTTAACTTTTTTTGCTTCTCCAGTATTTATTAGTATAGCATGAAATTGTGTGGTCTGAACAATAATGGTTTTTTAGAATCCTACTGCGCATTACAACTGTACACACGCATACCTCACAAACAGAATGAAAAAGGGCATTCCATAGAATTTGGTTAAGTCAAGAGTTTGTAATGTAGGTAGCTCTTGCTTGTGTGAGGAAAAAGATGGATGGCAGAAGGTGGAGAGAAGGGAAGCAAGACGTGAATTGGCCGGTTCACTGAGACTCACCTGAAGTTTTGCAGTGCCTCGACCCAGCTGTGGCAGGTCTGTTTTCATTGACTAAGAGCATCCCAGCTTCCATTTCATATATAGTTCATATATAACAAAGCTTTACACAGTGGGTGATACTCAGATTCTCTATTAGCAGGAGTCATTAGGGGTCTTTCTATAAAAGGTTGAAACCAGAATGGGTTCTCAGCTTTTCATAGCATCATAGCATCAACTCCGTTTCAACCTCCCACAGCCTGAGGTATGTCACAGCCCTCTGACGTATTTCAGTATGACCTGATACCAGTTGGCTGGAGCAAAATCACCTGCAGAGCAAGATTGTAAAACTTAAGTTATGACCACTGGCCAGTCTGCATTATTGGCAAGTACGTTGGCAAACCCGGAGCATTTAGAGACCCAGGGTTCCTGCTCTTTTCCCAGTATGCTCTTTAAGAAAATGTTTTGTTACTGCATGCTTATGTGTGTAGTCTTGTAGCTACATACTGGGCATATGTGTGCTTGGAGTTTGTATAATGATTCATATTTATGGAGAGAGTTATATATAAATCCTGCTGACTTCTTAAAAAAATCTTTTATTAGTGTCTGTGCTATAGAATCAAAAGGCAGTAGAAGAAATAGTACACAGCGGGTAGAAGTCTGAACTAAAATTTTACGGATCTCATATTGGATCAAGTCTAGAAAATCTGATGTCAGGCATCAGCCTGTAATTCAGCAGACATTTATTGTTAATAAGAAGCTAATAAGAACATGCACAATTTTTATCAGGCATCAATACTAACTAGTCCTTGTCCATGTTCAGAATTAACTGATTTCAGCTTTCATGTTTGCAAGAACAGCTGATACTTCGATATGAAAACAGAAACTATTTCACTTGTTAGTGTTTCCTGCTGGATCGATTACTTTTTACCTGAATCCACATTTTCTATACGTTTTTAGATTGCAGTATATATCAAATTGTTTTCCAAATCTGCTGTGTTGTATCAACATTCCTATTAACAAAATTCCTGGGTTTTACGCAAGAGAAAGATGAGATTTCCAAGCCAGGGTTTTACTTCATAAGTTAAGTATCCAGGTGTTCACAGTAACACATTAACATTTCACATGTGTTGCCTAGGTTTAAGGTAAGTTTGCACAACAAACAGGTTTAAGTTAAATTTAAGTTAATGTTATTTCTGGACATGCTATCTTGTAAAACTGGCCAGCTGCCTATTGTGCGATTCACTGTGAGATACCAACAGAAACATTTATTTTGAAGGAATAATGCATCAAGTCTTCCAACACTTTCGGTGGTGAACTACTTGTTTGCATTATCTGTGGGATGGTTGCCTTGTGGACGATGATATCTGCAGAACTTGTCACAAAAGGACTTAGACTTGACGGCTTAACAGCTTGAGCCTCCTGTTTCTTACTATATTGTACTGGTATACCACCCAAGGCTATTAGCTGCCTCCCAGTTCAGTGGGTATTATTATATCCTGGAGTAGTGGTAAAACTGGAGTTATTGGTTTGGCTTTGCTCTAGTAGTTAGTCAGTAGCCCTAAAGGCTGCCTGCTGGTTTTTGAGTGCAAAATATCATTGTTCTGTTCTAGGTTTACCAAGCTAAGTTTTCTTCAGAACATTCAGCACTCCCCCTCTCCATGCTGTCACAGGCTACAATCTGGAAAAAAAAAATAGTGAACATTTTACAGGGAACTGACCTGGGTCTTAGAGCTGTTTATCACAGCTATGATTTACATCAGTAGTATGTCAAGAGTAAAGCACCTTTGCCAAACAAAGTGTTTTTCCTAAGATTTAGGGAAGTATACACAATACAGTCACAGATTTTGTTTTTAGTTTATTATCTTTCAGTATCATGAAATACCACTCATACTCATGTGTAAGTGAGACCACTTACAGTCCTGTGAGCACAAACCTGGGAGTTTTGCGGACATGGTAAACAGGCCCAGCGAGGGAAACGCCAGTGGATTCCAGTTGAAACTGAAACTTAGGAATCAGAAAGTACTGAAACAGGCTTTAAACTGGCAAGCTGGACACCAAGTTTCCAAGTCACAGAAACTAACATCAGTTACACTGTATATTTAGAATGTTTAAGTGCTTTTTTTTACCCAACTGGACTCCAAATAGATGTCTCCCTTGGAAGCCGGTTTTTGGTTCAGATATTACAAAGGTTCTTAAGTTCTTGATCTTTTGACTTACTGGCATTTGATAAAGGTTAACAAAGCTTATTTCCCAGAAGAAAATTGTACCGAGTCATAAATGTTCATTATGACAGTGCTTACTCTTAACTTCTGCCAAGCTAAATATGTGCTCACATATGACCAAAAATTGCAAATTAGGTTAGATGATCCCCTGCTGACATGGTCCACATTCCATAGTGGGGGGAGAAAACCAAATGAAAAAAACAGGAAAAATATCTTCTTTCTTGCCCACAAATACAAGGAACTGCATTTTTATAAAATATTGTATCTAAAGGTATTGAGCTTTTTTGATGAAGTGTTGGATTATGAATTTGAGAAGTTGTGCTTCTGAAATCTTCATTTGAAACTATGGTCTTTACTAATAGTGAGTGATTCTCTTCTAGAAAATAACAGGTGGTGTTCAAAATCTGATGATAGTAGGTTATAGGCTAAGTACAACACATGGATGGCCACATCATCGTTTTGGTCTGGCAGAGACGAATTTTGATTGCCATTGATAATGCTACCCAAGAATTTGTAGCAGTGTTTTCCTCCAATGAGTGGTGTGACAAAAGGTGATTCAGGAGGTGAAATCCTGTACTTTTGTGATTTTTCTTTAGTCTCCTCTTTCATGGATCTACTCCCTGCTAATGCTTGCAATCCCCGCATAAAATCAGACATAATGCCCCTACATAACTTACTTAGTATCTTACTTGAAGGATAATATTTGCTACAAGCAAAAGGGGGAAGCGTAAGTAAACTTTCAGAAAGGGCAAGCCTGTCTAACCCAACTTGTAATAAAAGTGCTAAAATAAACCTTTTATACACTGAACAAGGCAGTGCTTATAGATTGTCATAACTAGAGGTCTGGATGTACATACATATTATTACTGAAGGGCAATTAACATAGCAGCATAGTTATAATTTTAGGGGTTTAAGTTTTTTCTTTTTTTCACTGCAGCAGGAACTCCGGAAGACAAAATGCGATTATTTCTGATCTACTACATAAGCTCAGCTCAGGCACCTTCAGAGGTTCGTATGTTCTTTACAGCTTCCAACACCAAATTGTACCACACAGGACTTTCCTGAATCAATTCAGCCCTAAATGGGTATTTCTGCTTCTCTTTGAAGCAAAGTATGAAATGCCCAGGAAATAGTGAAACTTTAAATAAATTTTGTAGTGTTACCAGGGAATCTGCTCACAAAGCTTTAGCTATCATTTCAAAGGATATGAATGACTAGTAAGCAGGAAGATTATCTTTTGAAATACTTAGTTTAGAGGTACTGCAAGAAACATCTTGGCATGCTTTCTGTTACTCTGCTCCACTGCTCAATTAGAAGTAGGTGAACCAAAGTGTTAATTATGAGTCTCTGCACTCTGTCCTTGTATATTCAAGAACAATTGGATCAGTTGGCCAGCCGATGAGTAAAGGAGAAATGCTTCTTATGCCAGTATCTGAATAATTCAGGAAACAATTCCTTAATATTTCTCTTGAACTTATGATGTTTAATTTCAAGGAAGATTTTCATTATACTGTAGAAATATTATGTGGTAGGAAAAACATGTTGGGTTAGGCAAAGAGAAAGTATTCTTACAAATATATGTTAACTCCCCTTCATTTTTATTACTTGCCGTTGTGACATTTTACAGAAACCAGTATTCTGTCAGGTTTTTTAAATATGCTGATATAAAAGACTGTTCCCATATCTGAAAGTGCACAGGATTTAATTCCACAAGTACTGTTAAGTTCAATGAGAGCTGCTCATAGAAAACTGCATTTCTCTACTTCATAATTTCAGATTGATTTGGAGCAGTATAAAAAAGCGTTGATGGATGCAGGTTGTAATCTTGCTCCTTTGAGCTACATAAAACAATGGAAGTAAGTAATTTCTTTTTTCTCCTACATGAGGCTGTAACTAGGTAATTTTACAGAACTCACCATTGGTATCAAGGAATTATGTGTTCCTTCTCATGCATCGTAAATTACCCTTAACCATTCATTCAGGCATATTTTTTTGCCATCATTGTTATGGCAATACATGCAAATCTGATTTTAAAACTGAACTCCAGTAATGCCAGAAGAGTATTGAATATGACACATAGCAGTGTACTTAGTGACCCAAGACAGAAGCAACTTACTGAATTAAATGAAAAGTTGTGCTCGGTCAGACTCCACATTTTTTTGGTTCATACCAAAGGGCCTTGCTGCCTATCAGTTATTCTAGTTTTACATCGTATCAAAATAAAGCCTTTGTCTTTTAAGCGTAAAATCTAATTCCTTTCCGTTCCTTAACTGTTGTAATTATAGACAAGAGAGATGCCTGCCATAGTTACTTCCTGAAAGAGTTTGAGAAGCATAAGTTTTTTCACTTTCAAATGACCAGAGTGGAACACTCTACAGCAGTATGTGCCATGGGATGAATATTTGATTTCTATCCCCGCTTTCACAGGGCTTTCACCAAGATGGCTTCGGCTCCAACCAGCTATGGAAACACTACGCCTAAACCTTTGGGGTATGCTTTTGATTTATTTTCTGTAAGCCTTTGGTGGTTTTTAGCTTATTTTAGTGGTACTGGAAGTGTGATTAGTGCTGTACAAGGCCCAGAATAAAATATTTCCCTCTTTGTAAAAAGTTTTATGTTACAGACAATTACAAGCACTCACCTCCCCTTAACAGCGCATAGGACTTAGACACAGGAAATCAAAGAGATCTGTGACTAAATCCACAAAGTAACTTAATACAGTGATATCTACATCTGTGCATTAAATGCACAGGCTCTCACAGGAGAAGAATTCGGCACCAGGAAATAGGTCTATGACAGCCATCATTTTGAGCCGTATTTAGTCAATGGCAGAAGATAAGAACAGCCCTGTGTATTCAGAACTGGTTCTCTGCAGGGCCTGGAGACTGTCAGGGATGCAGGAACACTCTGCTCTATGATTAGGATGTCCTGGACTGGGTGTCTGCCTGCTTGTTGAAAGGTGTAGTTACTTATTTCAGGACATGAAATGCAGAGAGGACGACTGTGCTAAGGGTGCATATATTCCCAGGATATGGGACTTGGGTCTTTCCATGCTTGAGAGGATTTGAATCCCCATTGCCAACTTTACTTTCAGAAACACACTGTCACTGTTACAAAGAAACTGTGGCCCAGTATGGTTAGAGAGAATTCCATTGCTGTCTCACTTGGAAAAATTACTGTTTGGTTGTTTGGAGACACTCAGCATCGCTGTTAACTCCAGTGATTAGGACACCCACTCAAAAGGAGCACTCAAATCCTTGCACTACTGAAGTGTAAACTGTTCAATGGATTAAAGACCAGAACTTGGGACTCCTAGTGATAGGTGAGGATCTAACCGCTGGATTATAGGTGTACTCCCAAACACTTCACTGCCGTGTGGTTTGAAGAATGTATTTCATGACAAAATGAATGACTTAGTACTTAATTCCCGTCGACTTTATTAGGAATTGGATGTCAGCATAAAGCTTAAGAATGCAAATTAAAAAAGAAGGTCTCACACATCATCTTCATTTTGTTTTTCAGCCTGTTTTCACGTGTTATGAATACAGGATCACAGTTTGTGATGGAAGGAGTGAAGAACTTGGTACTGAAGCAACAAGTAAGTTTAAAAACAAGTTAAAAGAAAGTCTATCACGTGGGCATTGAGAATATTTAGATAAACATTCAGAAAAACAACTGTCAGTACCTCTGTCTTAGTAAAATCAGTTGGTCAGTAACAAAAAAACCCCATCAACCTCTGCTGGTGGGTTGATCTATGACGTAGCTTCCAGTTTTTAGACAAGTAATGAATAGTGTTCAAATTTTCTTTGAATACCTCCATTTGTAAGGAATTAGATTCCAGTATGTGTGATTAAGACTGATTTCAGCATTATAAAAAGAGCAGCTGTGGAATACTCAAAATAGACCTGCATAAACAAAAAAAGCCCTCCATGTCTTTACTTAGAACAGCGTGTATCAAACGCGTCTGTTCCAGAGTGACTGAAAGGCTGAAAGTGTTCATTCTCTGTTCAGTTACAATTCAAGTATTCCCAGTTTTCCCATGTAAATATGTACAGCAACAATAACCTTGAAATGTGCTTGAAAATCAAAGTGTGTTTATAATGACAAGGCCACCTTCTAATATTCATTTAAGTTTGGAAAACTTGCATGAAAATTTCAATGTACACCCTGCAAAAGAAAACAAAACAACAAAAGACAGACAGTGGTTGTGTAACTCATCGCAGCTGAAATCTTGAATCATGGTTCGCCGAAACCTGCTTCCCTGTAGAGGATGCATTGTTTTCTCCAATATGTGCTTTCATTAGGTGGCAATAAATAAATATTTACAGTTAGAAATCTTAATTCTGCAATATTTTGACATCAACATTTCTAAGAAAAAGGTCATAGAATCATAGAATGTTTTGGGTTAGAAGGCATCTTTAGAGGTCATCTAGCCCAACCCCCTGCAGTCAGCAGGGACACCTTTAACTGGATCAGGTTGCTCAGAGCCCCATCCAACCCGGTCTTGAATGTTTCCAGGGATGGGGCCTCCACCACGTCTCTGGGCAACCCCTTCCATTGTTTCACCACCCTCATTGTAAAGAATTTCTTCCTTATATCCAGTCTAAACCTACCCTGGTTTAGTTTAAAGCCATTACCCCTTCTCCTGTCACTTGTCATTTGTCATACATCATTCCTAGTGGAAGAACCAGAATTTAATCTAGAAATGCAGCATATCAGAACTAAATAAAATGAAATCTCATCTCTAATTAAATGTGCATCTTCTTGACGTAGTTAATCTAATCATAGCCATTGTTTAGTTATCCTGTTATACACATAATTTATGCATGAAAAGTATCAGTTTTCACATAAGAGTTTAAAAAAATAATTTCTATGGCTTTTGGAGGGTAGTCAATGAAATTAATTCTGAGGGATTTTCACTGACTAAATAAGATACATTGCATTGCACAGTTACAAGTCAGTGGTACGTCATGAAATACCGTTGAGGAAACTGTTTTAAATATGCAACTTGCCTGTATGTTAGATTTTATAGAGCGCTCTTCAGATCAACTGTTACTTGTAAAAGTAGATGATAATTGTATTCTAAATGAGACTTCCTATTCTTGTATTAAACATTTTGTCATTTAACATGTGTGGCTTTAAAAAGTTCGTGTTGTTCTTGGCAAAATGGCTTGCTTTGTTTTGGGTTCTGAGTGAGGAAGAAGCCACAATGCCGATGTTTTCAGGATATTTTTTTCTGGCTTTTAATTCCTTCTCCAGGTGTTTTGGGGTAGCCAAATAAAATGCTGTTCTTCCTCATATTTTTAAGCCTGACGTAGGTCTGTGGTATTTCTGTTAAACTTAACTTTTTATTTCTCATTTGGAGATTTACATTGTTTTTTTACTAAGCTTTTTTGAGTGTTATTTGTAGATCATCCTTTGGAATGTCCTTTTTTGATCTATTCTGTCAACAGGACACATTGCCAAGTCTGTTGCTATGTAAACTCTCCCTCAGTTTACTACTGCTAAAGTGGTTTGACTGTTTAATACTTCAGATCTTTTGTTTAAGCCAACATTTCCCATCTTAAATAAGGAAAAGTCATCTTGAATCTCACCTCAGTTTATTCCTTTCCAGTTCATCCAAACATTTGTTGCCAGGATTGCTTTTTTTTTACCCATTTCTTTGACAACATTAGTTCTTTTTTAGCATCAAACCCTTAATTCTCATCTTTTTAATCATCTAACATCTCAGTTTTAAAATTCTTTCCTTAAACCACAAAGTATTTTTTCAATATGGATTCATACATCACCACATGTCTGCATGTATTGGTAATACCTAAATACAACTTTGTTCCTGTCTTCACTCTTCTTTTTTTTTTTTTTTGCACAGAAAGGTAATTTAGGTGACGATAAAAATGCTCAACCTTTACAAAATATAAGAGGAAAACTGTTTAAAGCAGTATTTCAAATGTTCTGTAAATTATTCCATAAATAATAGAGTGCCTGTGGATAGTCATTAGTAAGCATTTCAGCATTCCATGAATTTCACATTGTGTTTTACAGAATCTACCAGTCACACGTATATTGGACAACCTCATGGAGATGAAGTCAAACCCTGTGAGTATAACTGCCTTCACATGGAAAGAGGTGGAACAAATGAAATCTTGAGGCTGTGATATGTAATATGCCATGGCTATTTTTTTTCATGATAATGCAGTTTAATCGTGTAGTATCTCAAGTATCTCAAGTATCTCATTTTTATAAATATTTCATAAGATTTTTTTTCATAAAAATAGTTTCTAAACGATAATTTATTGTGTCTCATTGGAACTCGTGGGTTTGAGTTTTGTTTTTTATTCTGAGGTCCTATTACTCTTGTGTTATACTGAGTTTCTGTTGCTCCTAAATTTCTAAAAGTTAAACCATGGGCTGAAATTTTATTTGCATCAAGGTGGGGTTTTTTTGGTTTTTTTAAGAGCACAGTTTCAGAAATAAAGCAGTTAGAGAGGTATGTTAGAGAAAATTTTGTTTCCCACGTCTTTAAAGCTTTGCTATTTAACAGAAAATATTTTAGTCCTCATGTAGTCTTTTAGTTTGCAAGCAGAGTTGGTTTTGTGTCAGAAAAGTCCTCTTTTCCCCTTGTTTCTGCAAAAATTTCCTCAGACTTATGTAAGTTACAAACTTTGAAACAATTAAATGTTAGCTAGGTAGTCAAGATGTTTGCTAGAATTTACAGCTAAAAATGGCCATAAAAATACAGTCAAAGCGGTCTTTTTTTTTTTGCCGTGTATTTTGTTTCTTCAGAACTCCTACATAGGAGCATTCTGTGCACAAACTTGTCCTGCAAAACCTACCTGTTAAAAGTAATTTAGAAAGCTTTAGTGTGTTTGCCACATCGTATCAGTCTTCCTGTTTTAATTACATCAGTGTCAGGCAGAGATATACAGTTGTAATAGTTCACACTGCGTAGTAGATTTAAAACGTTCTCCTTCGTCCACTTTCACCTTCAGGTATTAGCTGTATGTAAAGGGAGGTAAATAATGGTAAAATATGAAAATGATCAATCTTCAAGGAATCCTGTCTTTTCTTAAACTGTACTTCAGAGATAATATGTGTCATTGTTAGCAGAAAGTTTGCTTTCTCTTACCAAAGAAATTGATACTGTTTGCAGTGGCAGCAGATTGTTGTCCCTGTTCGCAAGACTTGGGAAAGATGCACAGGGCTGATTTTATCCAGTCAACCGGTAGAGGTCGCTCAGAACACTTAATACAGAAAGCTGAAATTAAAAACCACAGATAGCTTACAAGTAGGTGAAAAATGAAACAATTTCATTTTTAAATAAACAGTAGCTTCCTCAAGCTACAAGTTTAGGAATTGATTTGGAAAAGTTTACGAGTCATCCAGGTGTTTTTTTGCTGACTTGCTATTGTCACATTTCACTTAGTAGAAAAAAGCCACGGCCACTTTCATAGTTTGGAGAAAACATTGATCTTCTCACTTGAAAAAGCAGAGATTGAGGCAGTCTGTCAGACAGCAGCTTCGTGTTGCACTGCTATGTCAGAGACGGGAATTCATGGCCCGAAACAGGGAGTCCTACTTTTCAAGTCAGAGGAGACCAGGCAAGCCTAAGAGAATAGTTCTCCTTGCCTGCAGGGAAATGGACAGCAACTTTTTGAGTAAGTTTCAGCAAACAGAAGCAAAGCGGAGGGTCATTGCGGAATATGTTTAGACGTGCTGTACCACCAACAGAAGTGAAATTGTATCTGGAAAAGGACAATGTGTAGAAATACACTGCTGTGGCCTCTGTTCATCTTCTGGTGTCTGAGGTCCTTTTCAGCTCCCCAGAATAGAAAACTACTGCACTGTAGGCAGAGTACAAAGGGAGGGGAAAAAAAAGTTCAAGATTTTATTTTTTTTACAACACAAAAAAATGCCCTTTATAGTTCATTGAATCTCACTAACCACAGTGATCGGTGCATGAAACATACATACAGATAGAAGTTGTAATGCAAAATTAGAACAGATCGTTGAGAAGTCAAACAATTATTACAATGATTGTAAATAATTCTTTTCTAAATGTAAAATGCAACAGTAAAGATATGGAATGTACAACTTGTGCCACCAACATTCGCAAATATTATTGTCAGTTGAAATTTTAAGCCTACTCAGCATGATCGGCTGTGCGAAGCCCTGTAGGGTTGCCTGCACTTTGTGTGTTACTTGTCCCTGCTGCTCCTTTTGTCTCACAAGGACGGCTACCAGGAAGGACAAAGTTTTTCAGAAGCAGGAACAGATAGAACAGTTCTTTGGGGCAATAATACCATCCTGTAACTTTTAAAATTTGTCTAGATTGGTTAGCTGTAGTTACACTTTTTCTTGAAGTATTTATTCAGAAACATTTATTGGTGACCTTAAAGTAATCCATTCCTTGAGGTTTTTTTTTTTTAATAATAACATTTATTGGTCAAAGCAGGTTTTTAAGCAATTGCTTTGGGCATTATGTTTTCATAAAAGAACGTTCTGTTTGTAAATCTAAGAGTTGCTTTCTTTTGGTATTGCTAAATAGAGATTGACTAAAACCTTAAATCTTCCTAACAAAAAAAAAATTCATATTGTTAAATATACACAGATTTTAACCCATACAAATGAAATTGGCCGCCACTTGCTAGAGAATTATGGAGATTCTTTTAAGTATCTTCCACAAAATGGTTCGATTCTTGAGTAAAGATAAACTTTGATAAGTAAACCTTTGATATTTTTACAACAAAGCCCCAAAGGGGCTTTAGCTTCTGTCAATATAGTGTGTACATTTGTATTAAGTTAAGAGCTAGATCAATCTTATTTGTGTTATATATGAATGGAGCTGTATTTTGGTTAATATCATCCCTTTCAGTAAATACAGTATCTTTCAGGCTTAGGCTATACTGCATGGCTACTTTTCATGCATTACAATGAAAAATTCTAAAAATTGGGGGTTTCCTTGGTCCAAACCAGTCATGTTAGCTTATGCAGAAAAATAAATACAGGCTGAAAGTCAAGGAGATTTCCATGAGTCTCTTTCCATTTTAATTTGAAATATTGAAAATTAAGTAAGTTCATTATTTCAAAAGTGTGAATTTTATTCTTGAATTGCTTGGGGAAGTGACAAATTCTGTTGCGTGTAAGGAAACTGCTATCCCATTGGTTTTATTGGCAGACTAGCTATTTCTTAAAGCAAATAAAATCTCGTAGGGTTTCTGTCCCTTCACCCTCAGAACTGATTTCAGCAGATATCGTGTATTTAAAGAACAAAACGAACCCTAGTTTATCACATTTCTATTATTTTACCACTTTTCATACGTCTACTTACACAAGCCCGCAGTGGAAAAAAAAAATGCAGCAGTAATACATTCAGGAGGAAACGTTTGTAATATTGGGGGTTTAACTCTGATTTTAGTTCTGGCATTCATCTGTAATTCATTCTAACAAGCAGGGAAGCTGCAGCTCTTTATCGCAGTTAAAGATTTCTCAAAGACCTTTCAGTTTTAGCCTAGCAGTATCTATCCATCCCCAGCTCTCCCATTACTTCAGAGCTGCTACACCACCTTTATATACGAGGCTGCCAAAATCAGGAATGCTGGCAGACTGTACAAATGCAGTTGAAATTCCCGGTGGAGCATATAAAAGCATTTTACAGAGGTTCAGGGTGAAATTAGATCTAAATTAAATTTTTTAAAAAGCCAAACTTGAGGATAAGAGACTTATTTTATGTAATTACATGAAATTCCTTAATATCAATTAGATCTATGTTCTGTGTGTGTAACCACCACATGTATACTAACTATTTTGTAATATTAGAGATAGTTATGCATTGTGAGCTCTAACAGATTCCCCAGATAATCTGTCTGCTACTCAGGAATAATTGTTTCTGCTCTACAGAATCATCAAAACACAGAGATCTTGCATGTAAGCACCCAGATCAAATCAACCATAGTCCCGCATGCAGTTTATCCACAAACTAAACTTCACAGTACCTGGATGAAAATGTAGTATAGAAACAGAAGAAAGCCAAATAGTTGTCAGAAAGAGTTACTAAGAAGTTTTGTTTTTCATCTGTAATAATTGGCAAAAATCCTGCTTGTTGCCAATAAAAATATTGGAAGGGCCTCAGTGCTTTGTGTGAAGAAAAAATTTTTTTGTATAGTTTAGACAGTCAGACTTTTCAAATTCTTATGGAACTCATTTCTTCTTCAAGAGCTTAATTTTAGTTTAATAGTAGTCATAAATCATGAAATGAAAAGGGTAAGTTACGTAACGGTAGCAGATTTTGATCTATCTTGTATTTAGCATTCATTGCCATAGAAGTGTTTTGTTTTATAATATTAAATCGATAGCAGATCTCTGTAACCTGGAAAATTTTAGCATTTATAACTAACCCTGTGATGTTCCTCTGAAGCTGGTGACACCTTGGTTTTTCTCTCTGCATACTGCCTTTCTGTTGGGATTTATTGTGCAACTCGTGTATTTTTTTGAAAGTGTGTAATAGTCAATTTTAGATGAACCAGAAACAAAAAGCTCAATAGCACCCTTCATAGCTCTCTCACTGTTTTTTATTCTGTACTGGTTCAGTTATGTACAAATACTGTAAATATTAGTGGATACCACACTTAATTTTGAACAGTGTGCCTGCTAAATTGGAGATGACATTGGTTTGAATGATGTTTATTGTAATAGATACAAGCAGAAATTCACAAGCCAAAATTCCAACCTTTTGAGGTAAAAATGTACTTTTTAATAGGAGACAGATGACTACCGGTATTTTGACCCCAAGATGCTGCGAGGCAGTGACAGGTGAGTTTACTCTGCATTTTGCTTCTTTCCTTGTGCCCTGTGAAAAGGCTAACTTAAGAAATCTGTTTTATTTTACTTGCTGACTACAAGTAATTAATCATTAATTCGTAGTCAAGACAGTTGGTGTTGAAGGAATTCACAACAGGAACTTGGATCAACCAGATAAAATTTTATAACATTGCAAAAAAAGGCTTTTGTTCCAGTGACTGAACGTGCTGCTAACACGTACACTGATTCAGTCGCAGGAATGTGTACTTATGTTTAGCAGGAATAAATGTTAGAATTCTTACAGTTGGACTGCTTGGTTTCTTTGAAACTTTGTGGGTTTTCACTGTTAAATTAAAAAGTCATGGGCTAATGCACTAAAATTTTTTTATCACTTTAAACAGTTAAAATTTTAATTTGAATACATCTCTTCTTTTGTTAATAACTTTGCAAAAAAAAATCATTAAAAATTGACTGTATTTGCTCTTGTGTAGGCAGGTGCACATTTTATACTCGTGCATATGAAGGGAGAATTGGATATATTTTGTTTTGCCAATAAAAGAGAGGAAGAGGGATTACACCAGAAGTTTATAAATTTATATCATTTGGTTTACATCTTTGACCAAGAACTGTGGCTGATAATCTCCCCTCTAATATCCTAGAAACAGAGAAGATACTTAATTTTAACATACCTTCAAAAATTATTTTCATCAAACCCATGGGGAAACATTCAGCTCATAGAATTGCCTGTAATAAGTATTATTATTACAGACCATGTAATTTCAAAGATAAGCAGATTTTGAAAGCATCAAAGAAGAAAATTGCCAGTATTTTAGGTTACATTTTAATCACAACTTTCATTGTTTTGTTATGCTTTTATAGCATTTTTGGAGGATTTTGTGCAAAGATTTGTTTCATTAAAGCCAAAGTGGTATTCTCATGTAAATGCATTTTTACCCACTCCACGTAGTTCCTACGTTGCTTTAAATGTGGAGATATGCATTTATAGCAGTTCATACATATGCCATTCTGTGTAGCTGTAATCAGCATCATAGGGAAACACTTTTAATTTCTGGTTTAGGATTTGTTTGGATTTTTTTACATAAACTCAAGTTATATTCCTTAAATCAAATTTGAGCATGACAACAAAATTCTAGTATAGTCATATAGGGGGTCATCTAATTCTCCTTTCAAATATTTAGGTAGATCATAAAAAAAAAAAACCCATAGGTTAGCTGGCTTGACAAAATATTACTAATTTAAAATAACAATATCAAGTAGTGTCATTAATGCAATGATATTAAAAAGTGACTAATTTTTTTGCTAACCTACACCTGTTTCAAGAAATACTGGCATTTCTACCTGTTATTTTTTAAATAGAGGAGAACTGCATTACTGTAACTCAGTCTTAGCAAAACAGTAGCTTTATATCCTGTGTAAAGCCTATGTCAAGTATAAGCAAGCCTTGCCCTCTGAAAGGATGACACAAAATGTATGTGGATGTCATATCATACTCAAACAACGAGAGAAATGGGCTAACAGTTCTACTTCTGGGGAGCCTGTAGTCTTCATGACAGATCAGAACAACAAATTAGAGAGAGCCGTTCCCTCTTAAAAGCTTTTTTTCCGATACACTGGAATCTGTATTGAGTCAACTGTTGGTCGCTCAGAGAAGACTTCTTGAAATAAGGGGAGGGATAAGTTGAAGAATGCAATGCTTTTAATCTGTGTAAGAACGTAAGGTGTGTTTGACTACCTGGGGCTGCAGGCCAGCACAGGGCAGGAGGGGAGTGGTAGTGTGCAAGCAAGGGGCGGGAGAGCAGACCGACCCTTCAGAGCTTCCTTCCTCTTCGCTTTTTCCCTTCCTCCCGAAGGTGCAAGGTGATGCAGGAAAAGACATTTCTCCCCCTTTCCCCACTACCTACCGCCCTGTGGCTGGGACTGTGGATTCAAAGGGAGAGGAGGAGTCTGTGCCACCCAAACTGTAACTTACTTCTTCCTCCTTAAATCATTGTAATCCTCTTGTTGTTGCTGTGACACCGGGCAGCAGAACACACACACTGCTGCCCGTGGTAGCTTTTGAGAGCTTGTGGCATCAAACTGACTGCCTTACCTAGTTAGATTCCAGTAGGCAGAATTTGGATTTGTAAGCATCTTGAACTGTGCTAATGCTGATGAAATTTTTTACACGTTGTATTTGCTCCTAGCTAGCTGCCCTGTTGTTAGAGCTTTAAAAGAAGTGTTGTCATAAAGCCTGTGGTTCAGATGGCAACCTTAAAACGGATGAAGTAAAACAACTCTATTTACTCATGTATGCAGTCCTGCAGAATGAATGTTTTTCCATAACAAATCATTTAAATAAAATACTTGGAGAATGAATGCAGAAAGGCAATTATTGTTCACTTTTATATCTTTGTCCAATCTTACATAGGATTCCGTAAACATGATGTGTACTTGATACTTATTTAGCATATCTGTATTAATGTCTAATAAAATTTAAGTTGTAGTTTGTTTGTGTTTCTTTTTATAGCTCAGTTCCCAGAAACAAAAATCCATTCCAGGAGGTAAGTCACATAGAAATTATTTTTCAATGTTCATGTGTTAAAAAAAAAATAATCCTAAAGTAACAGTCATTTTTGATGATCATGATTAAAATGAGAGGTCTTGTTTGCAAAAACCACTTAGACTAATTAGATCTTGTATTAATTATAATCAGCTGTTATTCTGAAGAAGTCTTTTCATCTTCAAAGCACTATGTAAGCATTAACTAATACTGGAGAAAAAAAAATCTAGAAAATTCTTCTGGAGGTAATTACAGAGATTTATTAATAACATAATTGGGTACTCAGCAATTTAAACCCCCCCATTTTTATGTCAGATCTTTAGAATGCTCTCTAGATTTAATCCTTTGTCCAGCCTTAAACAGCAAGCATTGACCACTGGTTTTAAGTGACAGTATTTTAAACCATCTCTGCAATTAAAGGAAGAAGGCAAACCAACAAATGGTGTCATTTTATACAAATGCCAGTAACTTCAGTATTTTTCAACATAAATATTTGCAAATAGTAAATGTCTTACTTATCCGATCTTACTACCAAGTTTCATAAGCAAAATCTTTGCCTTGGCAATATGCAGATGTCTCAGCTTTCTCTTGAAATGTCCTAATTAGCCGCCTGAACAAAAGAAATACCACGTGGTGTCATATGGTTAGCAGATGGTCATAACAAAAATGTCAGTTGTAACAGAAAGTCTATATAAAATTCATACAGTCTATATGAAACGCAAACCGTTTTGGATAGTGAATGTTAACAAAACTGATACCACTATTAAGTCTCCTTTTTCTATTAATTAATTGTTCTCTTTTAAACGTAGCCCAGAAAATACTTATGGCCTTTATCTGTAGTATTATAGATTATTAACCAGTAGGAAGTGGGAGGGGGGAAAATAATGAAATGATGTATTCCTTTACAACAGAACTATTTTATTTGTGTCCCAAATTAATTCTTAAGCATCCATGGACACAGGAGACATCTCCACACAAAAAAAGTAATGTGTTGAAACTGCATAAGTTTCAAATATTTCTTAGGAGAAGAAGCATCCTGCTAGAACTCTTCTATTAATCTTCCTTCAGGTAGGAAGCTAGTGGTTCTGTATCCAGTTCTTATGAGACTGCAGTGTGATTAGGAAGATTTTTGCTGTAGGTTTAATGATTTGATATATGTTTTACTACTGAAGTGTTAAGAATTTGAATGCATACTCTGATTATGTGTGTGTTACCTTTTAGGCGATAGTGTTTGTAGTTGGAGGTGGCAACTATATTGAATATCAAAATCTTATTGACTACATAAAGGTATGTGCAATTCTGTCGGTTGCAGTCTATAACTTACTGATAGAAACCAGTTTTAGCAGGTTTGCTGTAACATTTATTATGTAGAAGATTAAGTCTATGAAATTAGCCTTAACATCCTTATTATATACAGAGTCTGAGGGAAAAAAGTGTGTAAGAAATCAGTAAAAATGTGGATTATTAATTTGGACCAACAGAGAGTTACTGTCTCTGGTATTTTTGCTCATGTTGTACTTTTGAATTGAGTAAATAAACTACATTCTGCTTTATTTTGTCTTCATATACACCAACGTGGTTGAAAACTGTCAGCAGGTATAGCTAACTGACTTAACCTGTCTTCTGTATTTGATACATCAAATGCTGTCAGTTTGGCTGTTCATACCATTTTTGAGTCCTGTTACTAGTTTTTGTTTGTTGTTAAATAAAGCAGCTGTACTGTCTCATAGCCTTGAAAGTAAGGAACTGCTCAGAATTCTTTAGTTTTCATCGGTCCCGCAAAAGAGATACTGCAGCGCTTTTTCGTGTGCAGCTTCGCAATATGAAGTCAGTTCAAAACAAGGCCTACAGGTAACAGTATCTTATTTTACAACAGTCTTACCTGAGCGTAATGTCTGTTGTTTCAGAAGCCAATGTAATGCAAATGCTGTGCTATCTATCAAAGCAAAGATCAGACTGGCATCAACATATATTATTTACCCGCCTTTTAGAAGTTTTCACCGATGAGTTAATAGAAGCTCATTCTTGATACGCTGCATCATTTGGTTCTGTGTAGTTATCATAAGAGGTGTCAAGGGAGATGTCCAGGTAGATCCTGAAAAACATAAAGTCAGAACGTGTATGCTGGGTTATTTTCCCCCTCCAACAGGCAGCCATTTTGGAACAGAGCTGATCTGAATAGGTGAAAGAAGAGGAAGAGGAATGTAAGTTAAAGAAACTATTTAGGCTCACCTTAGCACTTACCACTATTCTCGATAACTAATCACAGCATTGAGTGGGGCATCTGCCTGTAGCAGAGTGCATTGTCAAACTTTCAGCTTGCTCCTTAGTTTACCCAAAGTCATTTCAGGCACCATATCAATTCAAAAGATGCCCAGCAACATGTCTATTTGTGATGTATATTCATTACTTCCTCCTGAAATAAAACTCTGACTCCCCTAGAGGCTACTAAACTTCTCTGGTATGTAGCTGCATACTGACAGAGCTGAGGTTTGCTGTGTATGCATAAATGTATATATGTGTATATACAGAGCATCTGTATGATGACAAGTTAAACACTTGGCACTGTATACAAAGTGGCAGGAAGCTGATGTTTCTGAGGAATAAGAGGGCAAACAGGAGGTCATTTGGTAGGTGGAGAGGACAGATGAAACTGAAAACTACAGGAATGGTCATTTTAGATCTTACAGAGAGTCAGAAGTTGGGCATAGTTTTTCTTCTTCTGGAACCCGTGGACAGATGTTTGTTCATCCTCAGTTGTCATAGTTGAAGGGTGCTGTATGTTTCTCCGATCAGACCACCTACTTGGTCAGTGGGAGATGACCTCCCAAGGGGGAAGACTCCCTTGCCTTTATTCCACTTAGCTCTTTGCTCTTGGAAAAAACAGGAAAGGTTAATGAAAGCCTTAATTCCACCTCCAACCCCCCAGAGATTTGTCTGCCTCTCCCAGGTGACTCTTACAGGCTTATCCAACAAAATTTGTGTCTCCATGTGGTACACTTCCAGCATCGGTTGTTTCAACAGATGTAGCTTATTAATTATTCTAATATTCAATCAGACTTCTTCCAGAATAAAAAAAAAAAAAGGAGAAAAATCAACAGTTCTGTTCTTGCAAGCAGATACCACAAAGATTTTATTCACTGCTTTATTTTTCTAAGCACTATCTGTTTTGCCAGTTTGCCTCTGAAAGCACAGAGAAAGTATTTTAAAACTTTCTAAAACAGGAAGCAATGTTCATTCAGCTTGATATTCTGGGGTTTTTGTAGAATTAAGAGGAACCCTCAAATCCAATTATTTGCAGTTCTGTGCTAGGATGGACTATCTCACATCATCAAAAAGCAAATATTTATAATGTCAGTAAGGCAGATTATGCCTTAAAATAAATACCTTGGCCAAGTTCAGGTCAACATGCTGAAAACGTGTCATCAAAATTGCACACCCTAGGGACAGTCCAGGAGGCGGCTAGCATACTGGTTTGAATTTAGCATGTCTTAATTTCCTTTTGCAGATGGTTAGAAAGGTACTGCTTGATAATCTGTTCCAATCTACCTTTGGTAGATGTTATCATTTATCACAAGAAATTTAAATCCAGCATAGTTTTTCAGTCATTAGAAAATACTGGACTTTGAAGAGTACTGAGGTTACTTTTTCTTAGATGTTAAGCAGTTTCGACTTGGCTCCAATAATTATTTGACTATATAGCTCTTTCTTTGAACGGACTAAGTAATTAACTTTAAATAAAAGCATACACATTTTAAAAATTACACTTCAAGAAGAATATGTGACAGATGGCAAGAGTACATTTATATGTTTGAGAGCTGCCTGAAATGCAACAGTCCTGTGTCACAATTATTTGTATAGTTTAAATTTTTTTTTTGGTACTAGGCAGAAACAAATGCTATCTAGTCAAAGTACTCAGAGTGGAATCTGTCAAAATACCAGTTTCGAGCAAAACCAGACCTGTTTGGGCATCAAGATTAAAAAAAACTGGCCTGAAACATGGGAAGATGCAAGCTCAAGGTCCTGCTCAGTGATAAGAATAGGTTATTGCCACAAACCACTCAAAATTAATAAAGATGAGGGCTTGAACGAGGGTTACCATCTCCCTAGTTAGCATGTGACCACCAGCTAAGGACTGTTGGAATCCACTTCTGTTACTTTCTGCAGAAACCGCACAACTGGTAATATATATGAAATAAAATAATTTTGTCAAGGCTTATGTTCCTATTTTGCTTTTTAATAATTAAGTTTTACCTAACTGATATGGAAAAATGCAAAATAATTTAACAGTGGAACAGATTTCTCAAGCCTATGCTTGAACTTTGAGGAACCATGGGACTATTAGCCCAATGGTGGAAGTAAACTCAGTCTGAAACTATGTATTACTTAAACTACTTCTCACTTCCAAAATGCTAACATGGCACTTCGGTGGCCTTACTATCAAACGAACACAGTTAAAACTGCAAACGAGGTTTATTTTGCAGCTGATTGAAATCAACATGACCTTTTGGTTCACAATCCATTTACAAAAAATGTTTTTAACATCATAATAATATGGGAACGAATTACAGACTGAAGTTTTCAGGCTCTTAACACAACAGAAACAGTAAAGATGTTGCTGTTATTTTTAGCACAGTGCCCAGTTATTTTAGGGGGTAGGCTTTGTTCAGGTAAGATTGTTAACTTGGCTAAGCCGTCCATAGATACATCAGAGAACTTAGCATCCTACTGAGGGTTAAATGCGTAAAATGCCCCTTTTTTTCCCCACTTTCTTTCTGCCTCTGCTGTCTCATTTTCCACTTCCATTTAATTACAGGGGTTTTTTCCTCTGGTTAAACAATATTCTTTTTCCAGCCAAAAGTGTAAGACTTCAACATCATCAAGATTTTTCTTTTTTTGGTACACAATTAGTTTAAGCCACTTTTGCTACTCAGTTAAACACTCGATTTCTTCCTTTCTTTTCTTTTTTTAGGGTAAGCAAGGCAAACATGTCCTGTATGGCTGCAGTGAACTATTTAATGCTACACAGTTTATAAAACAGGTACGTACCTTTGATAACCTCTGTAATATTTATTACTTCTGTAACTGTGTGTTGACTTAATTTACCTTAACATCTCTGTGAGTTTTACAAAAAACAAACTAATTTCTGAAAGATTAATACATGTTCTTGTTATCTATTTTCACTTGATTGAAATGGGGGTTTGGAGTCATCATTTTTAATTAACTTTTGAAGGCCTGTATTGTCAATGTGAGTTCACAGGTAATGCAGGTGAACAAGTTCATAATAATTCCCTTAACCTAAATCCTACGGGGAAAAAAAATGACTCTGTTCTGAGCCTTTCACAAATAGCACGGCTCTCCAGGCTATTCTAGCAACTTTACACGTTAAAAACTACTACTCAACTGTGACCTTTAAACCTTTGTCCTAAATTTTGCTATTTATAAATACTGGCCTAGTGGGAGCTAGATGTTGTCCATACCTATATTAAAATAAGTCTTTTATCATCACCATTACTTCTCTGTGGCTCATTCCAGTGCAAATGCAAAATAAAAATTATTCACAGTGGTCAGCAAAGAGCAGCCCTTCAGGAGCTGTCACCACCTATGGTTTTACTTCCTACTAAAATGAGAATAAATCGTTATTCAAAACTACATTTTAAAGAACTAAATTAATTTTTGTTGCACTTGAAGGAGACAAACAGTACTTACCAGCTTGTAACTCTTCAGTCAGCTTAAGTAACTTTTCTGTTGACTTGACTGCATGCACTGCACCTTTACCTCTGAGATTTATTCAGATCTTAAGATTTGAAGCTCAGATCCTCTCCTGTAAGGGAGATACTCTATTACCAGCATGCTTTTGGTTATAAGCAACAAAGCTTACAGGACAGAAATATTTACTGGACGAACTGGGTATTAGTTTGACTGAAAGAATAAGATTAGCAACCTGATGGTTTTCTGTCTCTCCACGTTTAGCTGTCCCAGCTTGGCCAGAAATAAGACTGAAACACCGTTACCTGGATGGCAACATGACAACAGAGAATTGTTACAACGTTCAGATATCTTCATATCTATAATTTTGTCATTATATTAAAACTTAAACCCATTTCATTAATACGATAACTTTTTAAAAAAGATCTGTAATTAATACGGTATATATCAACATTTCAGAAATAAACCTTAAAACCTGCTATATTTTTGGTGGGGGTCAGTTTCACATTATTACACTCTCAATGCAGTATTAGCTATGGCATATGACAGAGCTGGCTGAAAAGCATAGCGTTTTGAAGTTCTTGCATAGTTTCTGTTACAGTAAACAAAGCAATAGCTTGAAGAAAAGGTCAAGTCTGTCTTTAGGAGACGTGTTCTTCTTGAAAGCCAGACTATCTTTATTTAACAAAATTGAAAAGGACAAAACTGCCTTTTAGGACCGTAGACAAACAGCCTTAGTACAAGAGAACTACTCTACTTCTAGCTCTTGCCCTTTTATTTTACCAAAGTAATTGTACTTGTACTTAGATTTGTGCAGTCTTTGCTTGATGTTCCAAAGACGTACTTGAAGATACCTTCAGTACAAGTTTCTCATACAGTAATTTAGCTCCTCTCTTAAGATTAAGAGAAAAATCACTTGCCTGCGCAGTCACAGTTTCAAACTGTAAAACTGTGAAATCTTTTATAATTTTCTTCTGCAGTTTATAGTGTAACTAACTGCTTTGACTTTTACGCTTGGGAAGGAACCAAGTCATCCTCACAGAACAGCTTTTAACTGTTATAAGTTATAAGCACACATTTAAAATACAGGGTTTAACAATTGCATTAGGTAGGGGTGGTTTAGTAGTCTAAAGAATCTGAAGTTTTGCCAGTAATGACAGCTCTGGATAGTGAGTACGGGAATTGAGAGAAGGTAACAGAATTTCTATATAGATGTGGGTCTCTGCCTCTAGAAATGTCCCCTCTGGAAACAGCACCGCTACTGGTGAAGCAATATGTTTTCAAAATGAGGCCCAACATACTAAAAAAGTGAAAAGAAAACACTTGTTGGGGTTTTGTTAATAAACCGTGAGGTCATAAAAAATCGCTGTCTTACTGTAAATTTTTCAGCAGTGTTTTTTTGCGCTGTTCTTTGGTGTTGAACATTAACTTTGCTCTAAAGGCACTAATTCTTCCCCAGCTAGTTTTTTTATTTTTTTAAAACATCTATACAAGAAATGCAGTTGATCTATTCCTTAAAAGTATCACAATAAAAAGCTGCATAATCTAGACCACATTATCAAAAAGTAATAATGTTATTTAATTATCTCAGCAGAGTGTTGTAAGCTACTTCACACTACTGCTATAAACTTCTAACTTTGCCAAGTCATAAATATATTTACTGTGGTGTTAATTACAGTTGTTACATGTGAGCACTCTCCCATACTTCAGTCAGCAAGGACTCACGGTGTCAAATGCAGTGAGTTATTCTAATTCCCCACCTATACTGTATTTGTTAGTAAAAACAAGGTCAAAGTGCGTTTGGAAAAGAAAATGACATTTAAGGTGTTTATTGCCTCCTGTGGGAGTTCATTCCAGGAGCTTGAAGTAATCCAGCCCCAAGAAAACTGTGCTTCCTACACAAAGAGTTTTAACCTCGCAGCTGACAACCAACTTCTGCTGCTGACGTTTTGTCCAGCTCTTGTGGCAGCCTGTGGATGTCAGCCATCCAATGGACCCTGCTCATTTAAACCAGGAGCACTCCTAAATCACAGCTCTCAGAATTTGCCATTTCAGGAAACTATGTAAAGAGAGCAGAAATTACTTCAGTGGCTGTGTTCAGAAACTTAAGTGGCAGCCACTGGAGATGGGTTTCATTTGTGCCTAGCTGGATTTCCAGATCTGTTGTGTGAGCATGCACTGGTCAATTTATTGGGTTTTTTTTACAAAAAATAATAAATACAATTTTAGTACATCAAACATTCTTTCCTCTCTAAACTAGTTCTCTGGTTTTATTGTAGTAGTAGTCCTAAAGCTCTCCATTACCATGAAAAGCTCAGATGCACTGCTCTGTCTCCTTAATGGCGTGCTCATCGTCCTTCTTCCCTTCTGACACAACCTGAGTTACAGCATGCTGATTTTTGTTACCTGGCCCTTTCCCCTGAATCCCCCTTGTAGAAGGTTGTACAAGAAGTCTCCATGGTTAATTTAGAGGCAAACACTGTTAAGAGTAAGATAGCTTTTTGGCAAGCTTACTTACTCAATTTCTAGCCAGCCACTGTGCCCTTCACATGCTCAAAGGCCTGTGCTTCAAGGAGGGGATATGCCTGGCTCAGGGAGTCTTAAGGCAAATAGACCAGCAGTGTTCCCACTGCTAATAAATATTTTAGGTGGCTGCATGGCAGACCAGGGAATTTTGGAACTTTTCTAGCTCAGGCAGGGCTGATGGCAGTACCGGCCTCCAGCTTCCCTGTCTCGGGACCGGCACTTCTTCACTGGGCTCTACTTCCCATTTAGGTAAGTAAAAGCAGCAGAAGGCAGAGCTTCAAGTGCTGTACTTGTTCTCAAGAAGAAAATAAGCTGTCAGGTCTTCAGCCGTGGAAAATTGACACATCCATCTTTCAGGAATTATTGACAAATCTTACAAATGGATGCAAATCCTTGTCACTTAAGAATTAATTCACAGTTTGAAACAATAACGCTTTGCTTGCCTTCTTGTTTTTTGAAGGTTTTAAGACTATTTAGGTGGCTGTTTTGTGAATTAATGATTAATTTAGTGCCTTTGTTTTTCAGAGTTAGACACTTTAAAAAAGAAAAATAAGAATAAAAAAAGGAAACAATCAGAATGAGAAAAAGAAACCCCTGGAGACCACCGCTTGATATAAACGCCCTTACTAGTACAACACTGTCTGCTACAAATCATTATTTCTTTCCTACATTAGAAGAAAATTTTGCTAAGATTGATGGTGTTGACATCAGTCTCAAAGGAATGTAAAATA